GGGCTGGCGGAAGGGTCGCCCGGGACGGCCCGGGGCTCGCACCCGGATCCCAGCTCTCCGGGAAGCCGAGGAGAGAGGACTGCCTGCGCCACCGGGCGCGGCCTCGTCTCCACGACGAACCACAGAGCCATCCGGGCGTGGTGGCCGTGCCGGGGTTCCAGCTACTTGGAAGGCTGAGGCGGAAGGATGGCCTGGGCCCGCGGGAGGAGGCGGCGGCGGCCGGGAGCGTGCCGCTGCACCCCAGCCTGGGCGACGGAGACTCCAACTCAGAAAGTCAAAAAGGGAGTTTGGCTTGGGTGTGTCTCCTTATCTGGAGCAAGGGGTGGAGTTTATAGGGTCAAGCACAAAGGAGAGTGCTGACGCCAGGGAGATCACACAGCCTGGGACCCGGGACGTTAACTTTGCTAACAGGTGAGCTGGGCTTGAGTCTTTAACCGCTAGGACTGGGTTCTGTTGAATGCCCTCCTGTGCATCCTTTATTTTTTGGAGAGACAAGGTTTGGTTATGTTGCCCAGGCTGGTCTCGAATCCTGGACTCAAGCAATCCTCCCTCCTCAGCCTCCCAAAGTGCTGGGTTTAGAGGCATGAGCCATCATGCCAGGCCTGGCCTTTGCGTATGGTTTCATTTAAGCCTCAAACTCCACAGAGGAAGTACTTTTACAGAGGAGGGCTATCTATATGCCCAGATGCTCAGCAGATATTTAGCTAGTTATCCATATTTCAGTATTCGTTCCGCAGATGTCTTTTTCTTTTTGAGCTGGAGTCTCACTCTGTCACCCAGACTGGAGTGCAGGGGCACGCTCATGGCCACTGCTGCCTCGACCTGCTGGGTTCAGGTGATCCTTCCTCCTCAGCCTTCCAAGTAGCTGCAACTACAGGCACGTGCCACCACGCCTCGCTAATACTTTGATATATTGTAGAGATGAGGGCTTGCCAAGTTGCCTAGGTTGGTCTCGAACCCGTGGGCTCAGACAATCCTCTTACCTCGGCCTCCCAAAGTGCTGGGATTATAGGTGTGTGCCACCATGCCTGGCCCAACAAATTTCTTAATCTACTCTAGCCAGTTACTATTGTAGGTACTGGGACACTGGTGTAAGCAAAACAGAAAGTCTGCTCTGGTGAAATTTCTAGTGGGTTTGCGTGGTGATAAGAGACTCTTGAGATAAGCAGTCTCACTATCGTAGTATCCCCAAATCCTCAGGAATAGGCCAGCAGCCTTTAGTTTGGGAAACTTTGCTCACCAAACTGAATGACCAGCTATCACCACTGGGGCCGAGATGATTAATTAGAGATCTTTAACCGGAGGGAGCGCTACAGGTCACGTGGTCCACTTTCCTTCACTTTTTCCAAGTGAAGAGGCTGAAATTTAGAGAAGTGAGAGGACTTGCCTAAGGTCACAGCTAGCCGCTGAATCAAGAAGACACCAAATGGCTTTGCACCCTCTCTGATGTGCTTTACAAAATGAATTTGTATGACTCAAGGATGCACGACTACATCCCAGGGCCTGTGTGAGATACAAAAATGGATTCCAACGGGGAGTATAGACCAAGAACTAAGAGCCTGGGCTCTAAGACTCACCGCTTGGGGTCAAACCCCAGCTGTGTAACCCTGAGCATTCAGTACTTGGACTGAATAAAGTACTCAGTGAAAACATCGCCAAGGTACACTGCGGATGAAATCTTTAAAAGTATATATGTATTTTTAAAAATGGAGACGGATCTGGGCTCGGTGGCTCAGCCTGTCATCCCGCGCCTTTGGGAGGCTGAGGTGAGTGGATGGCCTGAGCCCGCGGGTTTGAGACCTGCCTGGGCAGCGAGGCCTCATTTCTACAATAAATCAAAAATCAGCTGGGCGTGGTAGCACATGCCGGTAGTTCTGGCTACTCGGAAGGCTGAGGCGGAAGGATCGCCAGAGCCCAGCAGGTCGAGGCTGCGGTGGCCGGGAGCGGCCACTGCACTCCAGTCTGGGCGACAGAGTGAGACTCCAACTCAAAAAAATAAAAAAATAGAGACGGGAGTCTTGCTATGTTGCCAAGACTAGTCTCGAACTCCTGGCCTCAAGTGATCCTCCCACCTTGGCCTCCCAAAATTCCATGTTCTGTCCAAAAAGCTAGATAATTGTTTGCAAATGGTGACCAACACAAAAAGAAACTCACTGATCCAAAAATGTTGCCTCTGAAATCCATGCAGAGGTATCTTCTGCTCATCACACCTGTGATCACCACGAAGCCAGCATCCTCTGATGTGATCATCAGGGCACCTGAGGAGAAACCCGTTCAGGTCAGAGGCTCATTGCACACCCAATTCCCACCTTTACGCACTTCCCGAAAGCCCACCTTCACGAAACCTCCCAGGATTGATTCTAGGGTGGTGAGGACTTCACATTCCCCTCCCCTTCTGTTTGTTCACCCTCATTCCTTTTGACACCCTCCTCCCGATTCATTTGCCTCCGGTTTCATCCTCTTGCCCCTATGAGATACTCTAAACTCCTGGCCCTCTGCCACCGGTACTGTACACATGTTTCTCTCTACCTGGACCGCCTCTGTTTTCCCCTTTGTCTTGCCAATACCTTTCCATGTTTCTGGTGGTGGCCACATTTAAAAAATTTCTTTTCTGGCCGGGTGAGTTGGGATTCAGCCCGTAGTCCCAGCACTTTGGGAGGCCGAGGTGAAAGGATTGCCCGAGCCCAGGGACTCAAGACCAGCCTGGGCAACTTGGTGAGACCTCGTCTACGATAAATCACAAAATTAGCCGGGCATGGTGGCGCGTGCCTGTAGTTCCAGCTACTTGGAAAGCTGAGGTGGAAGGATCGCCTGAACCCAGCAGGTCGAGGCTGCGGTGGCTGGGAGCGTGCCACTGCACTCCAGCCTGGGTGACAGGGAGGGACTCCAACTAAAAAAAAATTTTTTTTTCTATCTTAAAGATATGGGGTACAATTCAGGATTAGGTATACAAGTAGTCATTGTACAGGGAAAATTTGGGCCTCCCTTTGAAGGTACCTAGTTTGAAATCAGGTACCTTGTTGATGTTATATGCTCCCCACCTCCGCCCGCCCCCAGCAGTGTTCCGTCACTGCCAATCCCTTTCTTATTGTCTTATGGTCAGTGTTCAGGGTCTGCTTAGGAGTGAGGCGGCCGCATTCTTACACGCCTCCTGCATTTGATTTTAAAATCTATGTGAGATGTCTTTCAAGGATCCAACTTGTACCCAGAGTCTGATTCTCCACCTGAATGGCTTTAATAGTCTGCTACACCAGTCAACGTTCAGTCTGTGTCCAGAACCATCCAGAACCCACCTCCCTCTTCCTTCTCTGCTTACTGAAGTCACTTATCCTTCAAGGCTCAGACAGCACTGTCCCTGGGAAGCCCTTCCTCCTCTCCCTCATCAGAATGGCTTGTTCTTCCTTCTTGGACCGCTCAGCACGATGTTTGCTCTTAGAGGACGGCATGTCTTCCACCTGCCCTGTTTTAACTAAGTTCACTGATCTAGAGTGAACCACCCAGGAGCAGAGGGTGGCTCACTCTGTCACCCAGACTGAAGTGTAGTGCAGTGGCCGCTCCCGGCCACCGCAGCCTCGACCTGCTGGGCTCCTGCGATCCTTCCGCCTCAGCCTTCCAAGTAGCCGGAACTACAGGCGCGTGCTACCACGCCCGGCTCATTTTTGATTGATTGTAGAGATGAGGTCTTGCCAAGTTGCCCAGGTGAGTCCCGGAACTCGCGGGCTCGGGCAGTCCACTCACCTCGGCCTCCCAAAGTGTGGGATTATAGGCTGAGCCACCGAGCCCGGTTTGGGTCTAACTTTTTTTGTTGAACAGATACCAGTGATGGATGGAATTTTTTTCCTTGAGCTCTTCTTGGGTTTGGGTCTTTGTCTTCTTCTCACTTGGTGATGCTCCCTTCAGGCGCAGTTCCTCAAAAACTAGTCTCTGGCATGGGCCATTACATAGTTGATGCCAGCTTTAAGTGTGCTTTCTGTTTACACACAATTAGAACATATACTGGTGTAATTATATGAGTAACAATTCAGCAAGTCTTCTGCCCCAAAGGCTGTTTAATTGCCTCTGTGAAAAATCATTTCCTGAGCTCTTTGGGGCCACTTCCATTGACCCACCACAGAATTTCCATGTGCGTCTCATCTGACCTCAGCCCCCAGGGAGGTAGCCCAGGCAGGAATTATAATTCCTCTTCTGCACATGTGGCTTAGAGAGGTTGTACGTGCCCAATGTCTGTGCCTAACACGTGATGGAGCCTTGTGGGGGTGCTTTAAAGCCCAAGGTTCCTCACCGACCCCATGTAGACTCAGTATGAAGACCTCTGGGGAAAGTAAGCAGGTGATAATTCGACATTAGCCAAGTGCAGATCATAGTAGGGACTGAAACTGGAATGATGTGGGACAGAGGAATTGAGGGCAGAAGCAAACCCAGAAAGCTGAGAAAGGAAGAGGGCTGAGGAGAAGAGTTCATTTGTTTCAGAGTTTGACTGAGGGTTATCCTTGAGGGAAGTTTCTGGAAAGTGGGGTGAGGCACGGGGGACACAGGGGATATTTACATTTCTCCAAGATGGTGTCTGCCCAGGTGCCTCAAATGTATGGCTAATTTTGTGGTCAGCCCTGGGGAAAATATAGGGAACGTGTAAGAAATAGCTTCTGTTCTGATGACTTTTCAGTCAGTAACAATTTTTTTTTTTGGAGTCGGAGTCTCACTCTGTCGCCCAGACTGGAGTGCAGTGGCTGCTCCCAGCCACCGCAACCTCGACCTGCTGGGTTCAGGTGGTCCTTCCGCCTCAGCCTTCCAAGTAGCTCGAACCACAGGCACGCGCCACCGTGCCTGGCTAATTTTTTGATTCACTGTAGAGACGAGGGCTCACCACATTGCCCAGGCTGGTCTCGAACCCGTGGGCTCAGGCAATCCACTCGCCTCTGCCTCCCAAAGTGCTGGGATTACAGGTGTAAGCCACTGCACCCGGCTTAGTCGGTAACAAATTTTTGAGTGGCTCTGCTCTAAGTATTTTATATACTTTAAATTCTTAAAACAACTGCTGTATTGTTAATATTATTATTAGTAGTAATAGTAGTAGTAGCAGTGGCAATAGTAGCAGCGTCCCAGTTTAAGTGATAAGGAAACTAAGGCAGGATGGAAACTCAGGTCAAGACAGCTTCTTCCTGCCGCCCTCTAGCTTGCTCAATGGAAGTCACGACAAGGATGAGAAGACAAGGCCAAGGGCTGAAATACATGCGGCAGGCCCTGAGGACACCAAGTCAGAACACCCCCAAGGAGTCAGGGGAGAGGTACTGAACCAGGAACCAGGGGACTTGCATCCCTATCCCAACTCTACCACTTACTAACCCTAAGCCTTGGGCGACTCATGGCCCTCGCCTCCGTTTCCTCAGCTGTGAAATGGGAGTAGCAATGGTTGTCCTGCCTACTTCAGAGGGGGACCACGAGAATCCAGTGGGACAGTGGTTGTAAAAGTGACTTGAAAGGGTCGAGCAAATGGAGGGTATCACGTGGTGTGTTCTGACCTGCCGTGTGTGCCACCCCATGCTTTGACCACAGGCATGCGCCACCACGCCTGGCTAATTTTTTGATTGATTGTAGAGACGAGATCTCGCCAAGTTGCCCAGGCTGGTCTCGAACCCGGGCTCAGGCAATCCTCTCGCCTCTGCCTCCCAAAGTGCTTGGGGTCAGGGTGGGCAGTCCTTGTCTCAGGAGCCAGTCCCAATAGAAAACAACCTGCAGAGGAATCACGGACCGCTGCTACGAAGGGCGCAGACTCTTCCATCGAACCAACGTGCGCCAACCTGAAAGGTTAGAACATGTATGTTCTTCCCTTTGCGGTTTCAGAAGGTGTCTTCACCATCTGCACAGATTCAAGAAGAGAGTTTCTCAGAAGGAAGGAGAAATTCACTCCAGCTATCAGAGCCACCTGCCTCACCTGCTGAAATGGAGCAGGCCTGACAAATTTTGCCTTCAGTGAGGAAGGCGCCTTGATGCATGTGACCTTGGAAGAGCCTGGGAATTGGGGTCAAAATGCCCTCTAGGTCACTTACTACCTGTGTGACCTTAGGCCAGTTATTTAAGTTCTCGTTTTTGGACACAGGTCTTTGCTGTGTCACACGGACTGGGACGCAGTGGTCCAGTCATAGCTCACTGCAGCCTTGAAACCCTGGGCTCAAGTGATCCTCCCGCCTAAGCCTCCTGGATAGCTGGGACTAGAGGTATGACCACCACGCCTGGCTTATTTTTATTTTATAGATATAAGTAAAACGCTGTTGTAGAAATAGAGTCTGACTTCGTTGCCCACCCGTGTCTTGAACTCCTGGCCTCAAGTGATCCTCCCACCTCAGCCTCCCAAAGTGCTGGGGCTATAGGCCAGTTATTTAAGTTCTTTAACCTTTGTTTTTTCATATATAAGATGAAGACAGTAGAAACATTGACCTAATGTGACTGTCTTGAGGATCTAGTGAGTTAATGTTTTTATCCACTGCTGTATAAGGCACTTTCTAAATGCTAGTAATTTCTATCATGATCTCTTTGCCTTAGCCTGCTGCTGTAGAAGTTGAAAGTTACCTGCTCTGTTCTGTTCTCCTAGCCAGAAATGATAAATAAGATGACAGACATCAGGTGCTTCGAGCTCTTCAAAAGGAAAAGATAAATTATGAAGAAGGGCTGAAGAGCCCAAGGATAAACCAGCCTCAGGTGAAGAAAGTTCCAGTGGGGAAGACGGAGGAAGTGAAGGTATTAGGATCTAGGGAGTGATGCTAACCAGCGGCAGTAAGCATCCTCTTTGCTTTTGCTGTTTCCACAAAGCAAGGGATAAAGGGGAATCAGAGCATGGCATCGTTCACCCAGCAGGGGATACTCCCTACTCTATCCTCCCTGTCTCAGAACCCGAGAGTCCCAAGGGAATGTGAAGAATCTTGAAGACAGATCCTTTCATTTTGTCCAGTCCGCCAGCCCAAAGGTAGATTGGGTGCTCAACTCTTAATCAAGAATTTATTACAGCAAAAGAATAACCCGAGTTCATGGGAAATGGATCATTAATTAGGAGGAACGGAAAAACAAAACAAAACACCTTACGCTTTTCCATCAGTGTGAAAGTGTTGCTTTGCGGTCACTGCTGAAGTCACCAAAAATCATCTACCAGGTTTCTTTTTTTTTTTTTTTGAGTCTGTCACCCAGGCTGGAGTGCGGTGGCACACTCACGGCCACCACAGCCTCGACCTGCTGGGCTCAGGTGATCCTTCTGCTTCAGCTTTCCGAGTAGCTGGAGCCACAGGCATGCACCAGCACACCTGGCTAATTTTTTTTTTTTTTAAATTTATTGTAGAGATGAGGTCTCGCCACGTTGCCCAGGCCAGTCTCGAACCCCTGGGCTCAGGCAATCCTCTCACCTCTGCCTCCCAAAGTGCTGGGATTACAGGTGTGAGCCACTGCAACTGACTCGCCAGACTTTTAATTAGTTGTGCTTCTACATGTGATGCTTCCTCTTTCCTTTGGGGTAACTTGAGATCTTAGTGTATAATTTTTTACCCATCTCTCTCTCTTTTTTTGGCTAATACACATGACAACTGATTGGACTGTACAAAAGTTTACAGAAACTAGGAAAAAGAGGTTTCCCTCCCACCACCCTGACCCTGAGTTCCCTTCCCATGTTAGTGTATATCTTTTCAAAAACACAGTGCTTGGCTAGTGCCTATATCTGACAAAATCAAATCACATTTCCATAAAAATACATCTGAAGTCAGCTCAATTTATTTTGCTGCTTCTCATTTTAATTCACTCCACCTAGAGCTCAGTGCATCCTCTGGGCCTGACGCCAAGTAGGAATTTGAGGAAAAATGTCCACAGTTCCAACTGCTGGCTCAGCGGGTGATTCTTCAAGTTAACTGTCCACCACAGCCAGCCTGTACTGTTCTATCCTACTTCTTGTTCAGAAGGGCGTGTCTTTGGAGGTTTCCTTTCAGCAGAGGGATTCCATGATTCTAGACAAGTTGTATAAATATTCCCTCATTGTATACAGTGCTTCCCATATAGGGGAATCAACATAATGTCCCATAGTCCACTCTCCTGCGTTTTAAGCCACATCCAGTCTTGCAGAGGAGGTGAGGGTGGCCCTCCATGAGAGCTGCAAAATTTTATTTCCTAAAAGTCTAAGAGTGAGCTGGGAGACAAGAAAGGATGACAGACTGTGAAGTCTTTGAAGAGCTGTGCCTTCTTCCTTTTCAGTCATAGAGATTGATATAAGGCCGGACACACTGTAGGTCCTATTAAATATCCATTGAATAAAATGAGTAACACTTAGCATGTATCATATGTATCCAGAATATGTATAATTCACTTAGGATGCATCATATGTATCCAGGAATATGTAGAATTCAGATTCTTGCCCTTAGATTCAATCTTGGCTTCGAAGATGTTAACTTCTGAATCCTACCACATTCCCTTGAGTTCTGGAACTTGTTTGGGAGAACCTCCCCCTACCTCCCTTCATCTCCTATCAACGTCCATTGAGCATTTGAAGAGGTTTAAGCTGTTTTAAGGTTTGCATATGCACATGTCTTGCTACCAGCTTACGAACCTTGGATTCCTAGAAGAATGGATGTCTTCCAAAATAATTGATTAATTTACTATAAAAATAAAGAGCGAACCCTAATTCCTATAAGATGTTCTCTTTAGAGAGTGTGACTACTTTTTCATTTCTTTAATTTGATCTATATTAAATCAGTGTGCATTTTTCTGTGTCTTTAGAGTAATTTTTACATGTTCTCCTAGAATAGAAGACCCTGTCTTTTTCCATATCCATCACTTCTCCAATCCCATTTTCCCCTATATATAGATGTACACAAAGGAGCCCTCATGTAAATCATAGCTAATTGATTAGCTATTGTGTATATTGATCTAACTCTCTACAGATCTGATCTTTTAAAACACTCCAGTTTTTTCATGTTGCCAACGAGTTCCCAGCTAGCTTGACTTGTTACTGATTGGACACCTCTCAGTTTTACAGAGAAAAGCCACCAACTCAAAGTGGGTCCCTCTGAAGCACCACTAAACCTGTTAGTTGGATGGGTGGATGGATGCATGCGTGGATAGAGGAATGGATGGCTGGTCTGTACGCTTGGCCAGACTCACCAAGGCAACATACCTGGATAGTCTGTCTTGAACACATTTTTCCTGAGAACTTTTACAAAGCCAGAATACTAGAAGCTCAGGGTTGGAAAGAGCCCCCTGAATTCATCTATTCCAATCCTTGGTAGGATACAAGAATCTTCTTTACAACCTCTCTCGTTAACCCAGTCCATGTTTTGAATCCTAAGGTTTCTCTCTCTCACACACACACACACACACACACACACACACACACACACACACACACACACACAGTGGTTCCTGAGCAGAAAATGAGGAGGATGGATTGGCCTCTGGTCTAGCCTCCGACCACCCCAGGCCCCTGAGAAGCGATAACAGGGGAGCGCCCCTTCTTCCCAGCCTGGAGCCCCGACTCACTGTAGATGGTCTGCTGGGGCGTGCCGTCCACGTGGCCGTCCTTGTGGATCTGCAGATGGTAACTGTTCCTGGCTGTGGCCGTGTACAGGTGGGTCAGGCCACTCCAGCTGGAGCCGAGCAGCGGAGAGTCGTTGGGAGAGGCTCCGACGACGCCCCCACAGCAGACGCTGCACAGGGCACAGACCCAGAGCCTGAGGCGGGCCCCCCACATCGTGCCGCGCTCTGAGTGGCTGGAGCTGAGGCTGAAACCTGACACGCCTGCCCGGACTCGGCTAGCCTGGGCCTCCCTGGCCTTTTTCTCCCCTCCTTCCTTGCGAGGAGCTGGCCGGAGGATCCTATGCTGGATTCCCTCCTTTTTTCCCTCGGACTTTTAAAGGGTAGCGGTGTGACATCAAACAGGAAAAACTGCACTGTCCACATCCTCTGTGTTGTAATCAGCCCATTTGAAGAAAGTGCAAAGGCCTCTGAGGCTCACGGAAGGCACGTCGGTTCCAGACACACACACCCCTCAATTTCAAGCCAACGCTCCAAAACATGAATGACGTCTGCGACTCTGGGCTGTCTGTTGACCTGTCCCACTTCCACCAGGAAATGTGAAGGCAGCCAGCGGTTCCTAAAAAATCCAGCTTCGGTCATGCAGTCCACTGATTCTGGGCAATTCATCTCCCATCAAGGTGACTCATTTAGGTTTTCTTAGTTCCTCGAATTTCCATCACCAAGTGTGTATCCAGGGCTTTCTCCGTGTGCAGCATCAGGTGGGTAGCTTGAGGGATAGAGATCTATGAAAAATACGGGCGCTGGGAACAGGGGGACAGAAACCAGAGTGGCCATCTTGGGAGAAAGACCACACGGTCTGACGCCACTGGCCATGCCAAGGTTTGGTTCCTCAGTTTCCCTAGTTTGGACTCTCTAGGGCGGTGAAACTGGTAGTCTTTCCAGTGGTAAGGAGACCCATCCTGAGACCGCCTGAGGACTGGAAAGGCTGCTGGATGAGCACTGGGATCCCAGTGGCAGGACAGGGTGTCCCCACAGTCTGTGTCTACACATGGGTGCTCAGCTCTGTGACTGAAAGCCTGCTTGCAGGGGTTGTTTACAGGTGTGCCCCGTGGGAAGTTGCAACTGGTGTGGGGGGAAATCCTACATTTTCACATGTGCAGTTCATAGTAGGGTTCGCGCTTCTACGAGAATCTCATGCCACCACTGATCTGACAGAAGAAGATGGAGCTCAGGTGGCAATGTGAGTGATGCGGAGGGGCTGTAAACGCAAATGAGGCTTCACTTGCTTGCCTGGCACCCACCTCCTGCTGTGTGGCCCAGATCCTAACAGGCCACAAACAGGTATCTGTCTGTGGCCTGGGGGTTGGGGACCCTAGCTACCGGAATGCCAGAAAGATTCACACAGAGGGACTGCTGCGTTTCCAATTTCCCGTTCCCTGAGTACACACCACATACGGGCATCAAACTAGACACCCTGGTTGATATAGGCACGAGCAGGGTGTGACTCCCACCCCACGGAGCTCCAGACTAATGGAGGAGACATATAAAAACAAGTAGCCAAGCCGGGCTCGGTGGCTCAGCCTGTAATCCCGCGCCTTGGGAGGCTGAGGTGAGTGGATGGCCTGAGCCCGTGGGTTCGAGACCCGCCTGGGC